CACCAAGCCTGGTTCATGCTTCTAATTTAAGATATGAAACACAATACTTGTGTGAGGAAAGTTATCTATATTATAGCTTTATTTCCTTTAAGTGACAAAGTGATTTTTAGATATGTAAAGAATATTTTAAAATACACATTTTGCATATTTCCATTTTTTCCCTTAAGGATTCCACAAAAAGACATCTCTGGAAAATTTATATACTTTCATATAAAATCTATAAAGAAGATTGATCAGAAGAGCCTCTGATCAATTTTATTATTTACCCCAATTGACAGACAAGAGCCTCCATCTGTTATCCATAAAAACAAACCTTTAAATGACTCCCTTTCCTCCCCCTACCTTTTTTTTTTTTTTGGTGAGGCACTTGGGGTTAAGTGACTTGCCCAGAGTCACATAGCTAGTGAGTGTTATGTTTCTGAGGCTGGTTTTGAACTTGAGTCCTCCTGACTCCAACGCCCGTGCTTTGTCCCCTGCCCCACCTAGCTGCCACTTAACCGCCCTACCTCTTTCTTTTCTAAGAAGTTCACTTTTATGTAACTTACTTATTGCCAGGAACTTGTGGAAGTGGGGCATGACCACATCTGAGTCATAGAGGGGTTTTCTTAACGAGCATTTAGTCAAGCTCCCTTATCTACAGATGAGGGGTCCATAGAGGTGAAATATATTGTCCTGAAATCTCACAGGGAGTTTTGGGCAGAGCCTGGTTGGTGAATATAATGAGTGCCAGACCAGCGCCTTTTCCATTTAATCACCTGAGAGGGAACGTGTTGAAAGGGAAAAATGCTGGATATGGAGCCCTAGGACCTAGTTTTGAAACTTGGCTCCGCTACTCTACTGTCTGTGTGACTCTGGGCAAGTCAGAGCTTTTCTGGGATTATTACATCGTCTATAAAATAGAAGAATGGCATTAGGTTTGTGAGGTTCTCAACTGACAATCTTACTAGCCTATATAACAAGGCAGGACAAGAGGAGAGGGGACTATTCCTGAAGACCGACCCTGTTGCACAGGGATTGTAGCCAAGGAAGGAACACAGTACCAATGGGGAACACATGGGGGACAGCCCCCATTGCTACGAATTCCATGGACAAGCTGCCCATTCTGACCCTGTATCCCAAGCTACTCAGAGCTCAAACTTGTGTAGAATTTTAGATATAGAGCTGAGGGGGCACTAAGAAGAGAGTAACCCATCACTCATGGGGCAAGGCAGGTAGTTCGGACTACCGAAGTCAAAATATTTTCTGAATTGCCTCATAAGAAATGAGGAATGAGAGAGAGCAACCCAGGAAAATTTACTGACTGTGCCCTAGCAAGTAAAGGAATGAATACCTGATATTCGGGGCAGTTGGAATTAAGCACACATGCTTAGGGGGTTGGAACCATGTCAATCAAACCAGTTTTCACTAGCTTACCAGTGGCCATGGCCTTAGATATTATTATCTGAAAAACTGTCCTCAAAGAGCTGACGATCTAATGGTAGGGGAGGGAGTACACACACACACACACACACACACACACACACACACACACACACACA